GTACGCAATATGTGAATGCTAACAAGGGTAGCGTTACGATTATTATAGTTACAAAATACAACACATTGGGTAGCAAAATCGTATTGAACCGAGCAAGTCTATAATTAAGACGTGATTACATTTACACAACATAGTCGATTTAATTGGCTCACCGTACCTAACCCATTTTATTACTCCACCACATTGTACGATGTTACGTTGAAATTTGATTGAATGAACAATTAATGAACGTTCATCCTCAGTATTAATCTTGTAAAGAATATAAGACCGCGAAGTACGAGAAACTAGCTTGCACTATCTTGAATCAAAATTATTTCGAAGAATGGATTCCACTGATTTAGTACTAATTTCGTGCGTACTTGATTTACTTACCTTTGCGAATGTTTGGCTATACGCGATTATTAAGGTTTTGTATTGGAGCTTATACGGTTTCATATATCTCTGCATTGGAATTAGCAACAATTTTTGAGATTTTATTGGAGCCATGTACCAACGTCCACAGTAGCTAAACGTTTGAGTCAAAGAGAAAATAAATAAATTTTTTTTCAAACATACACGCATATACAATGATAAACGTCATGATCTTACATCTTGATAAACATGTCGCTACTGGTGTCATGTACTTTTTGTGGTATCAGTAGAAGGAGATATGTGGCACTTATAACACTACTGGAAAATGTGCAGTGACCGATAACAACTCGAATGTCCTCTATCGGTGACACAATACGTTTCAACTAAAATAAATGAAAAATTTGATTACTTAAAAGACGAGTCTTCAAAAAGTGGTCCACTTACTTTCAACAATATGCTAGTAATACAGAGTATAATCAGAAACATTTGAATTATTCCGGATTCGAGATAGCACCGCGCCAATATGTCGCCTAGTCTTGAACGATATTAAAAAATTAGGAGATGTTCTCTTATGTGTGCACTGCAAAAATATTGATAGCAACTAACTTTAAGTTCCTTTTGTGCACATCTATAATATGAACTATTCTTCCGTAATAAACCGTATTCAAGTCAATGTTATCATTGGTATTTTCTGGCTTGTCGAATAGATGTTCCAACAAGTACCTGAAAAATAAGATATTTTATTAAAAATAATTCCTGTGATATTTATAGTAAACAAATTTTGAACTTGCCCAAGTAGATGGAACATTCCCATCATATGCAGTAGTATTATCCAATTTAAGACTTCGACCCCACTCTGTACAGTTGATAATAACAAAACTGACAGACTTATATGAATTATGACAGGATAGAAGTATTTGTTGTGATCGACGAAATACTCGATTGGAAAATTTAAGTCGATAGGCCGTGATTGATTCAAAGGAACATCGAAAGAAGTAATTTTTGGAAAAAATAGGAATACCATGATTAAAACACTTGGCGCGTAGGCGAACACTAGAACAGTGATAAGTCCAATTAAAAATTGCACGAGTAGAATAAAAATGAAGTGAAGCGAAACTTATGCTTACAGAAAAGGAATTTAGAATAAAATACAAATTCTCCATACGCTTGTTTCAACGGTAATTTCTCAGCCTCTTTTAATCTGCCCCAATCAATTCTCATGTGGTCGAAACTCTCCTTATACTGTAATAGAAGACTGTTTTATATCATTGTCTTCCAATACATTCGTACTTTCATCATTTCTTACATAATCATCTTTTATCCAACATAAATGAAACTTCACTATTATTGGTAGCTCAAGAAATATGCCTGGAGCTAACGCAATTAATAAATCGAGAAACACTTCCGAGTTGAATATTGTGATGATCTAAAAGAATGTACATAATTTTAAAAAATTTTTATTGGAATTCATTTAAACTATAAAATACCTAAACCTACGCTTTGGAGAGCTGGCACGTCGGCATCTTGGGCGATCGTCGAAGTTTAAGCAGCGTCGACCGCGGTCAGTACTTAGATTGGTGACTGCGGTCGTGGCCTGCGAGACTTCGTGCGATCGCTTAGGTGTTGTACCCCACTCAACAAGTTGAGCGGAGAGGTGCGGGACGTTAAAATTCGGTGTCTAAGTCTATGAAAATGTGACCTAGACACCCAATGGAAACTGATACCCAAGACACCAACCATTTTCTAGTCTAGGTAGGATTTATCCAACTAGGTTTACCTACTGAAGGTTTTTCCCGCTCCACAGGTAGCACCCTGGGCGATTGCGAGATGGAGAGAGGACTGAGAGGAAAAGGGTGGTAGGTGATGGAAATAGTACAGAGGAAGTACTGGAGGTTCAGAAGAAAAAGGAGAAGGAGTAAAGCACTTGCTGGGCCGAATGGCTGCAGGCAGATAAATCCCGCAAAGAAAAACTATAAATACCTGAAGCAGTAGGAAGAATACAGTATTCATCGAGTATAGAACCCTCAGGATCAGTTTTGTTACTGACTCGTCGTACGGCCACATACCGCAGAAGAGTAGAAATAATCGATAGCTCTTGAAGACGTTACCTTCGATGAAGTCCATTACAGTCTGAAAGTTGAAATGCAACTGAGACACCAAAGATTTTAAAAAACAACACGATTCTGGAATCTCGCGTGTCGCACGAGAACCTCGATGAATATTAAAGATAGAGGTACATAAGATAATTATAGGATGCGACACTTCGAATTTCTTCCTGTTGTGTATTCATAGCTTGAACGTGCGTCGGTTGCAAATAATAGGTACACGTGTTAGAAAACATTTGTACCGGGAATTTATTTTCTCTTCGTGCGACAGGAATCACCCCTTTCAAAATGAATATTCTCACGTACGTGGCAATTACGTTCACGCGTGGATAACTTTCTCACACGTGACAATTGTCGAGGGGCTGTTGCAGGTGTCATAAATATTACAGTAAAGTTTTCTTCGGTGGTGGCGCGATACAAATCGTTGCACTCGTCTTCCAGCTCTTATGGAGTTAACATCGTCCTCTGAAAGGTACTCTTGTATTTCTTGACTCGTAATATTTTCACACCTGCATATGTGTATTGCGCGATGCAGAACATGACTTCATTCGAATATACAGAAATTCAAAGTGACTAGTCTTAAACGGATACTTGATACTGTGAATACGTTTGTCTCTTTGTCGTTTCATCTATGCAATATCAGTGATTGGTAAAGCGCGAGTAATATCTTATTTGGAATATGTGTGTTCATTGATATCAGTTTTAGAAGGCATCAGGAGACACAATCCCGAGTATTTTTTTAATTCCATTATTTCTGGTGAGATGTTCTCTTTATTCAATGAATTTTTCGTCTAACGTGTGTTTCAATCTACTAGCATTGAACAGGAATACAATTTTCACCAATCGAGTAATAATCTCATTTACGGTTGACGCCAAGCCAATTTGGAGAATATATAAGAGTGAATAGTGACTAGACTACGATTTTATTACATTATTCGTGCAGAATTGTAGAAAACTATTGAGAACACCAAAAGCTGAATGAATACGTGAATGTTAATCTAAAAAACATTTTTCAAACTGATTCTATACGGTGTTTTATGTGACATAAAAATCTAGAAGTCACTAATCGTTTTCAGGATTAGATTGATGACTAACAATTGGAATATCAATTAGTTTCTGCATCTCTAAGTGAAGTGAAATGTGTCGGAAGGTGGAGTGGATCCGGCGGTGATCTCCGGTTGGCTTCCAGTCGAACAAGTTCAACTTCGAGCATGAATTGCCGCACGCACGGGCGAACGCATACCGGGAGGACGGAATGAATTTTTAAATGAATTTAAAATTTCGGATTGTTAAGCGAACTGTCGGCGGATCTTCCGAGGGTGGGAATGTAAGACTGCCACCGGTTCATCTTAAGAAATTATATTTGCATCTGCCGTCTGACGGATAAACAATCTCATAGTCTAATTGCGTGCCACGATTATGCTGATCATCCGGAATGGGAAGTACGAGAAGATGCAATGCTCAAGCGGCGTTCAATTGAATTGTGTTACTCTACAACCAAAGGTATGCAAGTAGACGTAGGCCTGTCGCCTTATAGACACTTGGATATCGTGTTCATATTCGCATGAAAAATTAATGCTGTTTCTCTTTCCGTGAATAGTAATTGAATAAACTCCAATTTTACTGATGTATGGGATTTGCTGTTTGGAGGACATGAAACATGAAAAACTAATGCTGTTTCTCTTTCCGTGAACAGTAATTGAAAAAACTCCAATTTTACTGATGTATGGGATTTGCTGTTTGGAAGAACTTGGAAGTTATTCATAAAATGGATGTTGGTAAGGAAATAATAAATTGTTTAATTCAACAAGCCTTATTTATCGTTCCAATAATTCACGTCACTCATAGTTCAATATTAAAACAAAATGAGGGATTATATGCAGTTATACATTTTTATTATTAAATTTTAAATTTTGTTCTTAAAGAACATTCGTTGAAAAAATAAAAAAATTATAAAAAAAAAACATATATATAAAATTAATAAAGAGTACATTTTTAAAAGAAAACAACCATAACAAAAACAAAAAAGAAAGTCATGTATATATAAGGTACAAAATAAGGTCACTTGTATATAAAATAGTAGTGATCCTAAATTATGTAAAATGTAGATTATAACAATATAAAATTATATATAAATACATGTATTTGTATATTATCAGGTACCATCGTAGTCTAAGAATATATTGGTAATTTCAATGGAGCTACGTAGCGCTATGAGTGATATCGTTTTTATGTCGCTATGTTTTATTCCTAGCTTTTTTAGATTTTCAATGGTATATGGTGGTATGGCACCTCTAGCTCCTATTACTATTGGTAGGACCAATCCTTCTCCTAATTTGAATTCGTTCTTTAAGAACGTAGAGCATGCATTATACTTGTCCTCCTTCTCCTTGTATGCTTTCAGGAGGTAATCCCTATTTTCGTAGCGGACAGTGACGTCGACTACGAAAACCTTATCCTCATTTTTTATTATGAGGTCAGGTTTGTACAGATTGCCCCCAATTCTATATGTTGGATCAACGAATATCTCGTTTCGAGTCTTCACTTTATCCACGAGAAGGTTTTTAATTTCATCATGTCTCTTAATTCTCAGTCCTTTTGTATGTATGCATAAACCCAGGACATGTCCAAGGGTTTCTGGTTGTGATTTGCATCTCCTACAGGTAATATTTAGATTTTTATTTGCTCTAGCCATTGCTACTTTTGTTCCGACGGTGTTGGTCCTCAACCGAATAGCATCGATGAAACGAGATGGTTTTAGTAAATAATTCTCTCGTAGCCAGCAATTTCCAATTTTATCGCGTACAAATTCGTTTACCCCGTGACCCTGGCTTTTTAGATCTGCCCATTGTTTTATATTTTCTTGTTTTAGACGTTTTTTTGCCTTCTCAATATCTTCTTTTGTGGCTGGCCAGTTAATTCTAAGGGAGTTCGCTATATGTTTCAGTCTCTTTTCCCTCTTGTCGTCAAAGATACTGTGCACTGCAGGGTCAATAATTTTTCATTTTTATTGCATTTTTTAAGACTGCTAATTTCACTAGGTGTTCATATCTTGGTATTCCTAA